TATTCTTAAAAGTTTTAAGTACATCCCTAAAACAAAAAAATATAATTCAAAAAAATGATCCTTAAGCTTTCGAAAAGTTATCAGAACGCTGACTTTTGAGATGCCATAGACCTTCATTTATAAATATCTAACTAGAAAATAATAATTTACTATTTTAGCCTGTCTGTGTGTCCAGTAGTTGTTTTTTATTTCCAAAAATCGTCCTTTTTAGGCTGTCACACTAAGTATGCACCTTAAGTTTCGAAAAGGATATTAGAACCCATTGTTATTTATATACCATATACCTACCCGAAAAAGGCTAACAGATTCTGGTAGTCGGTCGAAGTAACCAAATTCAGTAGAAAAATTTTTTTCGAACGCCGTAAAATATTTATAACTACTTATTCGCTTTTTTTCAGCTGCAATAACTTCTCACCCGTAAAGCTGAGTTAATACAAACCATTTTCGGAAATTTTCTTTTTTATTTTTGCTATAATGAATTAAGTCATTTATAAATGAGCTGCGTACAAGGCCCTGCGTTGAATTTGAAATACACCACAATTAACTGAAACTGTCTTAAGCTTAAGAACATACTTGAGCATTTACATGCATGCAGCAGTTGTTGTAATTGTTTTAATTTTTCATTTATGGCGCTGCAACTTTGAAGTTATTTTTAGCAACCAATTTAGAGTTCAGACGTAAAAATAACTTTTGTGGAAGCGATCTTTATCCAGTTATGCAATTTTACAATGAAAAAAATTATTAATTTTGATTAGCAACATAAACTCGTCACCACTTAATTAACAATCGGCTAACATAAAACATTATTATTTATACAATTTTTTTTTTTTTTTAAATAAAAAATGAAGCGAAACAGTTCATCAAATTACGCTTCAATTTTTATTTAAAAAATTTTTATTTACTGAAAAATATTCGATTTACTTATTATTCTATATAAAAATTATGTTTTTGCAATCTCTAAAGAGCTAACTTAAAACTCTTGAATGCGCTTTCATAAAAACATTCAGTGAGATTTGAGTTGCTTTAGTTGCAACGTCAGCTTTCTGCCATTAAAAAGTTGGAACATCTCATTTTCCAGAAATTCCTTTAGCAAACAAACAAACACATAAGCAATGCAATTTAAAACCATCATAATACTGTCAATACGATTATTGTAGTGTCGCAAAGAAGCAAGTAACACGCAAAGTTCCGCACTCTACCGAATACCAACAATACACTGAAAAAAAATGTGGACTTAATAAAAAAAAGTTAAATTTGACTGCAACGAATCTATATAACTTAAAAGGGTACAAAAATATCTTTATTTTTATTTTAATAAGTCAGTTCGTATGCTATATTATATAGTGGTCCATTGTGTTCGAATATTATGTTATGAATATATGTTCGAATATTATAGCGTTGTCTTTCACAGTAATTCATGTCAAATTTCATGAAGTTATATTTTCTAATCAGAAATATTTCACTATAAGAACTTGATTGAGATCGGTGAGGCAACATGGCGGTTGTATGGCAGCTATATGCTATAGTGATCCAATCTAAATAATATGCGCGAAGATCATACCAATCAATATCGTGATTATAAACAAGTTTTACATACAATGACTTAATTTTGACGGGCCAGTTTGTATGGCAGCTATGCAATATAGTGGTACAATATCGGCGCTTCCGACAAATAATCAGTTTCTTGGCGTGAAACAAGTGTGTGCAAAATTTTAAAACGATATCTCGCAAACTGAGGGACTATGCAGGGTATTATAAAAAAAAAATCTCTCAGTGTAGGTTTTTACTAGCTAACTGTCTGGCCATCCACTGGCGCCTTAGTCCTTAAACAAACAAATTAATGACGCTCAGTCAGCAATGTTTACTACGAAATTTTACTCCTTTGTTAATACCGACACCCTTTGCCCTGCGCAATCACCTAAAACACATACAAGAGTATAGTATATACATACTTATTTCCGCATTAGACATAATTGAGTTTGTTCACTCAAACGCACCGAAGCAGGCATACGAGTGTACTTGTGCGAGTAGGCGTACGAACCCTGCAGCACGAGGCAGCAGTTTTGATTTTTATAAGTACAACTTAATACATTAAGCGACTAGTATATTTAGGTGAGGTTCGTTCTAAGAAGAAATCTACATACATATATGGTATGTATGTAAAACTACAAATGTGAACTTTTTGTTGAAACTAGTTTTTATTTTCTTCCAATAGTCCAATAGTTTATATAAAAATCCTTATTGTTTAAGTTAGTCGAGGTATACATCTTTATGAGTTATTTAGTAGACTTGATATTTTTCTTTCGAAGATCTGTCACTTTCTGTTGAAGGAATATGACTAAAAAATCATCGTTGGCAATAAAAGTGCGTTAAAACGCAACAATTTATTAGCGCACTTTGAAAATAGCTGATATAATCCATAGGTCCAACTTAAATATAAATGAATATGTAAGGCAAAAATACAGATTTTCGCTTCTGTTCACCAACGGTACCGGTACCAATACTGGTCCGTTTTTTCCTAGTGAAAATCAATACACTTTATGCAATTGTGCAAATATACACTCGTCAATGCGCTATCGGTAGGTTTCATTCAACAATATCTACGCCAGCACTTGGTCTGTCATTGCAGAAATATTTGACTGACTTTCTCGTCCAACAATTCAATTTGTAGCGTTGGCATGTCATGTGATGAAGTTTTGTTAGTTGATTTTTTGTTGTTGTTGTTTGAACGCATGTTGCATGTCATACAATCATTTTGTACATTTCAGCGCTGTGGGCATGTAGTGGTTACACATACACATATATGTATGTGTGTGTGAATGTTTGCTGAGGAACACCGGACATGAAAACCAGCTGATAAACAATGGCGCCGGCTTCTAATGAACACATTAAAACGCTTCAAATACTCGAGAGGTTCGAGCTAGTGTGTTGCTTGATAAGTTTTATAGTTGGTTTTGGTTTTTTTGTTGTTTTTTTTTGTTTTGGTGTTTTGGTAGGCGTTTCGTTGTGTGAGCAAGTTCCGGTATTTAAAATCGACTTTGTTGAAAATGTGTTGAAATTTGGTTGGATATGTGTATGTGTAGATTGCCTGACAAAGTTGCTCCCAACAGCCATTGGAAACTATTTGCCTACCAGCTTTTATATACTGTTTCTATGTTAATGTACATATTTGTATATACACATATCTACATGTACCATATACATATGTAAGTTACTTTATTAATGAAGTCCATTAAGCGCCTCGTCGCCTTAACAAATGGCTGGCTATCGTATGACATATTGTATCCAAAATGCATACATATTACGTATATATTATATATAGGTATATACACATGTATATGAAAGTGTGTACTATATTTGTCTGCTATATATGTATAAAAATAAGCTCATATTTGTATGACACAGGTGGGTGCCATTGAAATCGTTACTCTATACAATGTATTGTCGTATTGTCTCCATATGAGTAGTTATATTTATGGGGATGTATGTGTTAGATGTATGTGCTAGATGTATGTGTTAGATGTATATGCTAGATGTATGTGTTAGCATATGGCAAAACACCTTCCTGGGGATTTGTCTGACATTGACGCAACTAATGATCAATGGCTATGGCTTGATTGACCAGCTCCCAGACTTGACTGGCCAACAATGACAGAAAGCTCAACAATATGACACCTAGACGCCAATAGAAATTGTATATACACATATATGCAAACATACATGCATATATATATTTTTATATATTTACAACTTTGTTGTAATAAATAGCGACAATGCTCGTACTATATGCGTTCATAAAAATAGCTTCGTAAGCACTTCATTCTATTGCTTGTGGCGCCATAAATAGTAGCTGACCATAAACTTGTCACACAAAAAAATATATATTGTATATAACTATATATACCTACATATCATACCTTTAAATATATTGAATAGTTTAATAACAAAAAAGAAATCATTTAACAACGCTAGCTACTCTCAATATTACTCCACCTTACTCCATTTATTCGATTGTAGCGGAAATTACAATGCTTTTCGTATTTCATATGGCTTCACTATCTCACACCCTCTTACGCAGCCTCACATCTCTGATCCTTTTGTGCTATTTGCCTTTACTTAAATGTAATTTATCGCTAGCAACTAGCAAGGGCTTTGTGCACTCCAACAATGCCTCACTCAAACTCTGTTTACTGGCTTAAGTATTCATAGCTATGTTCCAATTACAAAGATGCGCAGGAAGAAGAAGAAGAAGCACTACAATGCAACACTGCACACAATTACAACTTCTGTTGAGTTTTTGTGCCGAAAGTGTAGTGTACAGTGCTTTTGTGGCGTTTGCACAGATAATAATCTCTCAAATTACACAATGTATCCTTTCAAAGTGAGGCAAAGCCGAAAGTTGGATGTGTCGAAATTTAAGCAGCTGTTGGGCAGAATTTATTTTGATATATGCATGAGATAACTTATTTTCTGAGCTTTATGGACTTTTAAAACTTGTATAGCAGCTTCTATTGGCTGCTAATAAGTTAAGGTAGTAGTCGGGAGACTTCAAAGTAATGCAAGAAATTCTTGAAATTCTACACGAGAATACCCCCACTTTCTGTGAGAAATAAAGCTCTCTCGTAATTGATATGCTACATATACGTATGTATATATTATATTTTTTTTCTAATTGCTGTATCGGTTACTAACCAAATGACGTAGAATAAAATCAATTAAGCGAAAGGGATAAAAAATCGTTATACATTAGTGTAACGAAAGCATTTCTATGGTTGTCCTTAAGTGACCAGTACCCATATGGTGTATGTAGGGGGGCATGTACGTAAGCAGAATATAGTTTTATGAATTCCACATATACCATATACACAAATATATATATTTATATATATTGTATATACATATCTGAACTTATATTGTATATACTACAACACTTAACGAATGCTTTTCTTCCATGACACTATTAACCACTTTTCCCTATCTTCTTCTGCTTCCCATTACAGCTTTCAACAATCAAGCAATCAATCAAAAGCATAGCATACGAGCAACAACAACAATATAGTGAACTAAATTGAATTTGTCCTATCAACTTCCGCTCAAGAATAATCAACACTACTTGAGTACTTGAGTAGCACAAACATACATACATACAAACGGAAACACGGCGAAAGGACTCCTCATGATGTTAACAAATAGCAGAGAAAGACAACAACTACAACCGAAACACAAAATGCAACACTGCTACACACTACTGCTAGCAGTCACAATATTGTTGTTGCATTTGATTGCACCCACCAGCGCCTCGGTACATCCGGTGCTTACCTACACAAACGCTTCCACACAGCTTGGCCAATTGGTCACCTCCAGCACACTGGTCTGGGAGACATATGACCCCAAGGATACGAAACAGCTGCAGTATGCGGTCGAGGGTGGCAAGTACATAACCGAGGACGAACACTATCCGATTTATGTGTGTCGTGTGACCATCGAGGGCATCACCACCAGCGGCCACACGGAGAAGATATTGCAATCGCATGTCTGTGCTGCAGCGCATTACAAGCACGGCAAGTACGAACAGTTCGATGTGCTGGTGAATAAGGGACATCTCGGCAAGATTATGTGGAAGCATTGGCGTAAATTTAATGCTGGTATACCCATCGGCGCCATACGTATCGGTGAGGATGACTATATCGGGCGGCATAAGGCGCCAGCAAGCGGTGAGAGCGGCACTGAACATTGGGGTGCGGACTACAATTTAGGTCGTTTGGATCCATTGGGTTTGGGTAAAATCAAGGTGATTGAGAATGGTCGTGACAAGGACTATGATGAAGGTGAGGTGTTGGTGGAGACTGAGCCGTTCCGTTATGAGTTGAAAGACATCAAATTGGACAACATACGTTTGGATAAGCGCGAGAATATCACCGATTTGGGTAAGTTGTGGGGATGTTAAATGTTAGAGTGGGAGAAACTAGGAAGTTTACTTCGTTTTCTTAACTTATTGAAATTGGAAATCGCGCAGAGCCGTTGTTAAACCTGCAACCATTGTCCAGTTATAAGAACGGTTAACTCTAATATTTTATTCGAACATACCTTGGTGTCTGGATTGTGTATTCAATTACATTTTCTTTTGCACTCGAGATCCTTTCAAATCAGTAATTAGAAGTAATTAGTAGCATTTTCACACACATGATTCTTAACGCTTAATTAGTAGTTGTCCTTGATTTCTTCTAACTCTCCCTGTTTTGAGGGTTCTAGCTTTGTCAATGAACTTGATATCTGCTTACATATGTTCTTAAGGCAGCCGGATTTACGATACTGCAACGAAACTGGGCTGAGTCCGTCCTAAAACTGACTCCTCGAAAAAATTTTTTTCATTTTTTCCACATCTCATTTCCGGTATCTGTAAGCAAAGCTATGAAAATTTTGCACTTTTTATAGGCTTTCGAGTTTAACGTACTAAAAATCTTTCGTGATCCGTTAGGAAAGGTTTTCGGCAATACTCATAAAGTATTTTAAGAAGTTGAAACTAATTATTTCTCATTACTCTTACATAATTTTAGCCTCCAGCGTTTTGGCCAATCGTGGTGATATGTACATACTGGTAGAGTCCGTGATGACATACGAATTCGACTATATACAATACTGGGGTTCACATGAGGGCGTGGCACGCGGTTTGCCCACCAAAGTCTATGAGAAAGATGTCAAAGTGCCCGTAGAAGTCAAGTGGGGTTTGAAGTATGTGGAGAAACGCTCCGAAACCAAATCAGTGCATACGAAACTCTGGCCCGGCACAGCATTGAATGTCACGCTCAAGGGTAATTATGTGACGCTGGAAGCGCCCTACTCCGCCAAGCTCTACGCCTTCTATTATGGCATTGAGGACAGCGTGTCACGCAAGATCTCAGCGGAGGTGAGTAGTTGAAGCACGGTTTAAGTACGTTTACATTAACTTCACATACTTTCAGGTGCGCAAGAGCTACTTGAAGGATGTTAAGCTCGAATTCAGTCCAGTCTATTGGATTGAGAATGGCACCTTTGTGCCCACCACAACCACCACCTCAACTACATCCACTTCCACCACCACAAACCCCACAACCACCAGTCACGAACCCGTGCCCATGCACGAACCGCCTGTGGTACAAGTGAAGAATATCGGTGAAACACACTCGGGTCCCGACTCGTTAGAGAAATCGCTGCACGATTCACCGCTGAGCAATGAAATACACAGCGATGTACCCGAGAATTTGGCTGCTGAACAGCAAAAGCCCACATTGGCTGGCATAGCGGTAACAGGCGGTGGACAGCCATTACAACAACAAATGTATGCGCTGATCACAGCGCTGTGTACGGTGACGTTGTGGGGCCGGCAGGCGCTGCGTGGCGTTTAGAGCGACTGCTGAAGCGCCTGTAGCGGTGGCTGGCGGTGCGTTGGCAGCTGGTTTGATGGTTGGGGCGTGGCGGAGCTTTATAAGCGTGGCGTTCTAGGCTTAAGTGATTTAAAATAGCATGTTGCATATGAGTTGCCAGCGTTAGCGCGCTTACAGTTAGCGAGCGCGCAGCTGTTTAGTTTTCGCTTACTCTTCCTAGCTTTTTCTCTCACTCACTCACTTCCTCTCTCTCTCTCTCTATCGATAAGTTTTAGTTTATGCTTCGTAAGCTTGTATTGTAATTTTAAACTCTTTTTTTTATTGTTTTTCCCACCTAGTTTTTGTTGTTTTGGCTTTGTATATGTATTTGGTGTGCGAGGAAATATTTCAAGCATCAAAATCAAAAGTTTTGAGAGTCAAGCGAAACAATAAGAATACGGCAAAGAGCAGGAAAAACAATAAAATATGAAATTTATAAGAAAAATAATATTATATTATAGCAAGAAAGATAAATAATAAACGATAAGTAAAGAGAAAATAGAAAGCGCATGTTAAAAACTCACAAAAAAAATAAATTAAAAAAACTGTGTGAGCCAAAGTTAAAGAGAAATATGAAAATATAATAGGAAAACACAATGCGTTGGGCATAAATTGAATTAAGCATAGATTTTAGCGTTTAGTGTTTAGTTGTTGTTGTACCTGTTTTAACCGTCTGCAAATTGTGTAGCGCCAGTAAATGCGAGCAAACAAGAGGAAAAGGCAAATGTAAAAGCGATGATAATGAGATAATTAATAAAATTAAAGGAAAATCAGAAAAGCAGCAAGTAAATGAAATGAGAGTTACAAAACCAAGCGAGCCAGTAAATAACGTAATAGAAATACCAAAAAGCAAAAAAAGAAAAAGAAAACAAAAAACAGTAATTATTAAATAATAAATAATAAATAAAAAAGCAGCAAGAGCGCATAAGGTAGTTTTGAAAATTTTCAATTTCGTCGACGGTTTGGATAGGCTAAAAATAAATAAATAACGGTAATAAATACATATATAGGGAAAATGATGAGCAGCGTCTGCATCAGCAAGTGGATAGTGTATTTGTATTTATTTACGAAATTAGCGCTAAGTTATATTACTGTATTATTACTGTACATTATACACACACTTACATATACATATATACATAGTAGTAATAAAGTAAAGGCAAGCAAAACAATTCAACAGTTAATATAATATACAAAAAAAAAATAATATTTTCATTTAAATATATTCAATTGCTGCAAAAAAATTATTTTTAAAGCGCTACATTTGCTTTGTGTGTATGTATATATTTAATTTACTGCAATAATACATAAATTTTTTGCAAAACATTTATTTGACAAGCAGTATTTGCTTTATATAACTGTATATGGTAATTGTTTTTAATTAAATGTACTAAGCAACAACATTCCTTGAATTTATGAAATTTATACAAATAAACCGATAATTTTATTAAAAATTTAATTGCCACAAATAGTTTTATTTCATTTAAATAAAAAATTATTTACGGACTATAAAAAAAAAAATAATATATAATTTTCAATTAAAAAAAAATTTTATTTCAAATTATAAAAAATATATAATGAAAAAAAAAATATTTTATTATAAATAATTTTCAATTATACAAAAAAAAAATATATATATATATGCGAATGTTCATAAATCAATTATGTTTTGAATAGTCAGTTGCTGCCACAAATTTATTCTACAGACTCAAAAACACTGAACGGAACTTATAAAAATCATATTTCAAATACTTTCGTTTTTGAAGTGAAATTTTTTAATAAGATCATATTTCAAAAATCGCCAAAAATTCACAAACTTTAAAATTTTGCTATAATAAATACTTATATTAAAAAAATTAAATTTAAAAAAAATACCCATTATTAAAATTTGAAAAGAAATTGAGTTTGAAACTATAAAACCATTTTGAAAATCGGAATTTTTCAAACAATTTGTATTTCAAAAACACTCAAAATTCACAAACTTTTAAAAATTTTGCTCTACTATATAACTATTATAAATAAAAGAATTTTATAAAAAATACACATTATACATTTTTTTTTAAATCAAATGTGTCTGAAAGTATAAAAACATTTTAGAAATCAAAATTTTATAAAATCGACTAAACGAGTTTTACATGCAATCAAAGCCTCACACCATAAAACGGTATAAATGCAGCTAAAATCTAATAATAATTATCTCAAAACGCTAATAAATTCTGCATCTAAATAAATAATTAATATTAATCAACATATATTTTATATTATCATTTTGAAAAAGGTTTTATTAAATATTGAAAATTATTTTACGTCATCATATTAAAAATATTTGTAAATTATTTAATTTTAATATATATTATATTTTAATTTTATGATAATACAAATATGTTAAACAAAAATATAATCATGCATTTTTATTTAATTTTTTCAAGTATGGAGTTTTTAAGGGTTGATTGCAGTATTTTATAAATGAATGAAGGTAGTTTTCAAAAAAATTGCATTTAAATATATATAAAAAAAAAATTACGGAACCGATCAAAAAACTTTTTTTTACTGATTGATAGCTGAATTGCCAACTATCAAATAACAAAATGTGTTTTACATTTGGACCACGCCAACAAACCTAAAAATTCAACTGAAGCCATCTATGAGTGAAATTCGCCATTACTTAGTTGCCAACCCAATATGAAGATAGCATTTTTTTATAAATACATAATAATATATGAATGGATATTTTTTTAATTAATTAAGTGAAAATAATGATATTGACAAAGAATGTGTCAACAGAACTTCTGAAATATTTTATTGTTTAAATTAAAAAAAAAAAATTGTGCAAAAATTTTAATTTTATTATAATTTTTTTTTTGTTTTATACAATCGTTATATGTACAAAAAAAAATTTAATTGAAATATTTAAACGTTTTTTCTAATCTTTTAAAAAAGTTTTTTATACTGTGTGTTATATATAATTATTATTATTAATATGTTTTGATTTTTTTACAATTTATTTAACTTAAGGTGTAAAATAAAAAAAAAAAAATTTTAAATTAAAATAAGTTCAAATAATTATTTTTTGAATTAAAAAAATATATATTTATTATTTAAAATTAAATTTATTTCACTGCTAAACACTTTTATTTTTCACCAAAACAAGTTTTCGAAAGTGCACTACACCAAACTGGAGATCATTAAATGCAATTATGAGGTCATAAAATTTAATATAAACGGCATTGCAAGAAAGAGCGGTAGAATATGTATGTATATGTGCACTAACTAGCTTATGGTAGTTAGCTTATTTATTATTAGAAACTTATATACATATATACAAAGTTTCGCTTGGTGCACAAACGAAGAATTTGTATTGTTTACATTAGAACACACTTGGAAGACCTTTCAAGGCAACTCAAATGTAGCACCTAATAATTTATATGAGTTGTGCATGTGTGTTAGTGCATAATAATTTTAGTTGCTAATAAAAGCGCCAGCGAGACTATAATTTAGTTTTCAAATAAACAATTTTATGATTATCGTCTAACAACCTTCACCTTTTTTTGGTGAGCCATAGAAATATGAAATGGGATGCACAATGTCGGTCAAAATTACATATTTACATAGTTGGAAGAATGTAACGATTAGAAAAGTTAACTCACATACATATGTATGTATCATGTAAGTATATATGCAGTGTCTTCACTTCCACTTTGACTGTAAAGCAACGCTTTCGTATTTGCCACACGTGTCTTCTAATGAACCCTTTTACAAACCGTTGTAAGTTTAGCACCTGCCGTGAGTAAGTCGGTCAATTGTTCAAACCAGCTGCGTTTCAGCTGCGACCATAAAAGGCCGGGCACTAAATTTATATGTGACTTCAATTCCGTTTGATCAAAAATGTCTGTTGCGTCGTTTAGTGCTTCTCCAGTGGTAGTAAAATCTTTACATGCTTTGGCATACAAATTGAAAATTGAAAAGATTTGTCTTTTCGTTTCTACAAAGTGACAGCTCAGTGAGTTTGAAATGTCTCACGTTGAGCCTGATTTCAATCTAAATTGGACGTATCCGACACTCTACTATTATATTATGTTAGTAATCTTTTAGAAAATGACTTGAAATATTTAAATTCTGTGGAAAATAGCTGAAATAAAGATATCTACAAGGAAGTGTTAGCTAAATCAGTTAACGATCGTATATAATATATAAGATATATATCAATTACCGGCCACCCTAAGCTGAAGATGTTTGCATATTGTGGAGCCAGCGATCTTTCAATCAAATACGTCTCTATATGCTTTCATGTCAAAACGAGTTTTATTTTTGATGCACTTGAACCCATCCCTTTTTTTTTGGATACCCATTTTTTTATAATTTTTTATATTTTTAAGCTAGTACTCTTATTTGCAGAAGGTAGAAAATTAATATCGATGATTGTTAGTAATATAACTACAGAGCCGTTGTGTGTAAATTTTTTCTTAGCTGGTGGTGGTTTCCGACCGGTAGAAAACTTACATTATTGTATGAGTTTCTTTACCCAAAATAATAATGATTATTTCTAAGCAAAGTCAAATGTTCTTGAAATGAAAAAACAAACTTTTCAAAAAACGCCAACATTGTAATCTTTTGTCATTGAATCTGTGAGAGTCTAAGGAAAGAGAATGAGGTAAGAAAAAATAATTCATCCTTAAGTCGAAAGCAAGTCAATCAACAAACATTTTTCGGATTGTGCTTGCTTTCGATAAAATGGCTTTCATTTTAAGGGATTCAACGGAAGACCGATCTTAATTTTATCTTGATCAAAGTGGTGGGCTATCCACTGATGCGAAGAGAATTTTTCAAGTAACTGCTCATATAAAAATTAATTCGTCTAGGAAGCGGAGATTTCTACAGCCCCTTAGAGGAGAAGTTTTCGTTAGTTAAACATAAAATATAGAAGTACTTTATATAAGGTTTTGAATAGTTCTAGTAAAATTAAATTCATTATTTTTTTGATATATGATTTTAATAATCTGGGCTGAACTACCAACTCCAAATCGCTGCTGAAACGCAACAAAATCTACCCATTTCTGAAGCGGTTGGTTACCAGTTATAAAAAGTGAGTCTCTTACGACAACGCTAAGTGAAAATGGTTGTGGTTCACGCGGCGTGAGCTGTCGTAAACTATGGCAAAGCCAGTATTAAGGATCAGAAAGGTTTTGCTATGTGCTTGGTTAGATTGACAGGAAGTTATCTAATATTAGCTGCTTCCCTACGATCAAACCCTTATTTCGGACCGGCACTATTAGCAATTGGACAATCTGGAAGCAGCAGTCGTCCAGAAGCTAGAAGCTTTGGCCAATAGGAGAGTAATTGTGTTACAGCAACGACAACGCCAGGCCACACAAATCGATATTGACTCGCCAGAAGCGAGTTTGATTCGGAATAAAGTTTTGCAAACAGCTCAAGCACTTTGTAGATACACACAATACAGAGCTTTTTCTTAAATATGTACTATCTATTGAAATTCTTTCTAAGAAAAGTTAAACTTTATCAGTATTCACATATTTCTCATTCATAAACAATTTTTGGTAAATACTTTATGAATTTCAGTCATACACTGAAACTTTCAGTTTGTCAATTGATTATGTATAAGTTTTGGGTTTTTGTTACATTTATCAACCCTTTCTCTCATTCGGTGAAAGCATCCACCCGCTGTAGCGTAGGTGTTGGTTACAAATCTATACGATTATGAAGAGAGCAAGCGTGTTGGTGTAATTTAACTCACCTTAGGTCTCAGTTCACTATTGTCAGTGGGTGAAACTGTCAAACAATCAATATATCTACACCTTTTGTATTGTTATTCTGTCAATGCGTCACAATGTCGACTGAAACATTTACATATTCCCACACA